ATATGGTTCAAAATCCAGTTATACGAAATAATATGAAACATATCCCAACATGATTGATTCAGCTAGGGTTTCAGATTTTTGCTTGCATGGCGTGCCTTATTTAGAATTCGCAGTATAGAAACCTAACTAAAAAGATCACGCTTCCGATTACCTGAAACTCCCATGCATTCAGTTCTCGACAGCTTGACAGCGTTTGATTTGAACTGTATAGAAGGGTTTTTTACCGTGGGCTTCCATTGATAGCAGTTGAATATCAACTGAAGGAACTACCGACGTTAAATATAGGTACTTTACCTTTGCCTTTACCTTTTATTACAGGAGCCATGTTATATGGCAAAACAACATTCCCTTTTGACAAAAACGGATATGGAGACTAGGTGCTAATTTGCCACTTGTTTATTATTTTTATTATTTCTTTCTATTGCTATGTTTTATATGATATGTATTGCTATTTATACTGACTGTCGTCGATACAGAACCGTTGTCCGGTCCTCGTGTGACTCAACTGAAAAAGYACCTTCTCCTTTGGATAATGGAAACCGGCTGAGATATCTTTTTAAGCAACAACAAAACATTTTCTAATTATTACTTCAAATCATTATTTTTCTTTGTTTACAAAATGTATAATAAAACGGTCTCTGAGTTTGATTTTTAGATTTGAATCGAATACCTTTAACGGATTTAGTTTGATAAGATAAAAGAGATAGTCAGTTTTAGATTAATGAATTGTTATTCGGCAAATAACCCAGAAGCTTTGCTTTTTGGGACTCTGTCTTATTCTTCTCCATCATCCTCTTGCCAGGGAATCAAATGGACGAGAAGAACCCAAACAACTTTTCTCTGTACGTCYTGTTACTAAGACAGTAGATAAACGGGTTCACACAGCTGTTAAACAATCCGATGACCTTCATGATGTTGTGTAGTTGATGCCTTAATTCTGGAGCAAGAACATYGTTGTTTCTTACAGACAGAGCTACTATAAGATATACCTCACTTGGAGCCCAACAGATAGTCATGGCCAAAGCGGTCATCACACACATGCGCAGTAGCCCCATCTTCGCTCTATCTGTTGCACACCCATTGTTCAACGATTTGCCTATCTTAAAGTAAATGTGTGCGAACATCATCCAGCAAATGGTCATAGGAAGAAAAAAGGTCAMGACTGTGTAAGTGATCTCTGTTGTTATACGGACRGTCCATGGCCATGGATAGGGTYGCAYTGAAGTGCACTTGGTTCCACCCTTAGTTGTCATGACAAAAAGTTTAGGTCTACCTGTACTTACTGCCAAGATGACGATCCAGATAGTAGCGATGTAAATACAGGCTTTCTTATTGGTGAAGGAAAGCTTGTATTTCATTGGGTAAATCACYGATAGCCATCGATTCARYGCCAGGCACGTGACTGTTAGGATGGAGGCTTTGCCGAATGCTATGACGAAATAATGCGAACCAATCAGAGAACAGTATCCATCGTTGAATATCAAGGACGACGGGAAGTAAGTACTAGGGATCACCATGTTGGGGGTTATAAAGATGAGAATCCCTTAAGGAAAAGTAGAAAGAAAGTTCAAACTTTAGAAAGACAATTATGTTATCTAGACCCTCGATTTGAATACTTCATGTTTGGATATATGAGATGCATGCTTTATGGGAGGCTTTTAAAAGAGCTTTTGGGCTTGTTATATGAAACGTATACTTTAGCTAACCGGTCTCGGAAAGTCTTGCATGTCTTTTCGTCACCCCTAAAAAATACATATTTCTATGAATTTCAACATTGAAAATAAAAGCGAATCCATAAAGGAAAGAAAGTCCAGAGATTCAACAAATTCAGCATTATACAAAAGCTTAATAGCCGTGACCTCAGCGATCTTCCTTCATATTCTTTTTGGTCCTGTTATACTACTAATTATATATGGCTATGTTTTGTAACTCGCTAAAAGACTGACCACTTGCTTATACTCACATACCTGTTAAAGCATCAATAACAGCCAGGTTCAAGACAAGAATATTGTATGGTTTGGCCAACATTCCACGTAGCCTCAGCAGTACTATTATAAGCACTGTATTGGTCAAAAGTGTTAGCACACCAATGATCCCGGTTGCTATACGATATCCTAATGGAGTTTCGTCGATGTTTCTGAATGGTGGCACTTTGGTGGTRTTATTCATTTCTGGTGAGGCTTCTTATATCCTATGGAGGCGTTGTTTTGCAATGAAGAGAAAAATTCACCCCAATTTAAGAGTTTTTAGTGAGCTCGAGGTGCAAGCTATTTTGTCAAAGAGACAGGCAAGCGAGCAAGTCCTTTTGGCCGCTTTAATTGTATATATTTGTGACACGATATATAACGGCAAAGATATAGGAATTGGACCTATGCACTTCAAAAGATAATAATCATACGAGAGATATCATTAAAAACACCGGCATAGTACGTGGCCCCAGGCTAGCAAAAGTGGAGCTACGTACCAAAGATAACAATGGCTACTTTACTCTTACCTTTTCATATGGCACATTACTTGCCTGGAAAAATAACATTAAAATAACATAAACAAAAATGACATAGAGGATATTACATGTGCGCGCGGAGATACCAAATTTATCTTCGAGTGTTGAAAAGATCTCTCACGAGTGAGCGTAGCGAACGAGTGAGAAATTTTCAACACGACAAGATAAATTTCGTGTCTCCAAGCGCCCATGTAATATTCTGCTTATTATATAATTATCCATAAAATCAACTTAACAAGCTTTTATTATTATAAAAAGTTTTTATTTATGAACTAATAGCTTAAATACACATGGTAACAATATTTTCACATGTGAAAATAACATGTTATTTTCACATGTGAAAATATCAGTTTTTCGAAAAGAAGAAATATAGGTATTTTATGGATAATTATATGATAAA